AGCAGAGTTGCACCACGGCCCGTGTCCTCTCCTCCTCCACCCACAGTCCCACTCCAGACTCTGGTCTCACACTGACACCGCTGGAAAGTTCAAAGCCTACTTCCACTCATGCCTCCCCCTCAAGCATGGTCTTGGGCTACTTGTGGACAAACTGTCCCAAAGCAGAGGTGCTGTCACTTTGTTCAAAACCACCATCACCACTCCATGACCCCACCCCCTCCAGGGTTACAGTGGTCCTTAGCGGGCCTCGTCAGACCTTCCCGAACCCGGCCCAGCATCCGAGGCATCTGCACTCTGGGGATGGCGTGAGGCGTGAACTACACCAGCCTGGCCAGGAAGACACGAGGCTGGGGAGCAACTGGGTTTCAGGAAGGGGACTCGAGTGCCCTGGGTAAAGGAGAGGGATTCACAGGAAGAAGCCAGGCAAACCTGGCCGCCCTCAAGGACAAGGGTCTGAGCAAGGCCGGAGCAGGTGAGGGTAGTGAAAAGGGGAAGCAGAGAGAAGGGGCAGGAGAGAGATGGGGGGCAGAAGACACAGCGGGAGCGGCCCTAAGCCACCAAGACAAGGCCGGCTCAGACGGAGGCAGAAAGACCTGGCAATACCTCACCAATACCTGGGACACTTGGGGAGAGGCGCATGAGGCCAGGTTGTGGAAGGCCTCACCTGTTGGCTAAGGGGTTCTCATGTCATCCCTCCCTTGAGGCACCTGACCTGCTCCATGTCCGTCCAGAGTGGACACCTGCCAGGTGTGAGGGAAGGGCTGGATACAGTTCCTGTCACAGAGTCTATAACTGCATGGTGTCGGGAGACATGGTCAGTGGCTATCTACAGGGCTAGGGGAGCCATTTACCTAAGAAATGGGGCGAAACCTGCGCGTGGTTAACTGCACAGCATCCAGAGGTGTGGTCTATGGTTATCTATAATGGCAAAGGGAATTCCTGGGCAGTGCAGTTAAGTCTGTGGGGGAGGGGACCTGTACAGGAAGGGTGGCTCCAAGTGGGCCGCACGTCTGTCCTCTGATCTGACAACCCATCTCCAGGCCCCAGCAGCAGGCCTCCGGCAAGCCCAGGCGGACAGGCCAGGCTCTGCGGGGCAGCACGGCTTTGGTCAATGAAAGAGCAGCAGCAGCCGTGTCCAGCATCCGCGTGGGGGAGCCACGTGGCTGTGACAAGAAATTGCTCTACACCACTCACTCCAGGAAACACAAGCAGGACAGAAGCCTGCATGACAGGAGGAAACCTGCACGTGGTTAACTGCGTGGTGTTGGGAGGCATGGGCCGTGGTTATCTACAGATAAAGGGGAGCCGTTTATCTAAGAAACGGGAGGAAACCTGCACGTGGTTAACTGCGTGGTGTCGGGAGACGTGGGCCGTGGTTATCTATAATGACAAACGGAATCCCTGGGCAGCGCAGTTAAATGCTCAGCCACTAACTGACGGGTTAGAGGTTCAACTTCACCCAAAGTGCCTCAGACAAAAGGCCTAGTGACCGCTTCCCCAAAATCAGTGCTGAAAACCGTCTGAAGCCCCGTTTCAGTGCAACACCCATGGGGCTGCCATGAGTCAGAGTTGACTGGGCAGCCACTGCTGTGCTTCTTCCCCATAAGGGAAGGGAGAGAGGGAGGGGAGGGGAGGGGCAGGGACAGGAAGTGAAACTTCTTGGAAGACCCATTGCTTAACAGATTTGACTTTGGACCCATGATCCTAAAACCAAATTGAACTGCTAAAAGCAATTCTGAACACCAAAAATAAAATAAGCAAAGGACCCAGCTTCCCCAGTGGAGCAACCACACAGAAAGGCGTTGCCCCTGACTATTCTAGAACACGACCACATGAGTGTGCATCCCCCTGGGCTGTACCCTCAGGACACAAGGGCTACAGGAGAAAACACACAGCTCCAGGGCACACCTGGCTCCAGGACTGTTACGGAAGTGGGATAAACCATTGAGTTGCTAATGTGTGAGTCTCCATCTCCCGCCTCCGGTGTTGCTGAAAGTGGGAATGTCCGTGTGGGAGAACAGACACAGACAGCAGACAGAAGCACGCAGACAAATCCTGTCATCCGACAGGAAGCACTTCTAAGAAACAGATCAGCACAGATCTAGAACCAAGGGCCAGTGGTAGCAGCCCTGGAGTCCAGCCCAAGATCTCTGAATGAGTCTCCCAGAGAGAAGGCTGAACTCAGGTCCCAGGTCCCAGGTCCTAGGCAAAAACAGGCAGGGCACGTGGGAAGCGTGTCACCCCAGGGCTACAGGTTCCCTCAAAGGGCCAAGTCCGGCCACAGATGGGACAGTTCACCAACCGGAACACATCAAACAGGTTTAATCCATGTGCCAAAAAAAGGGCTGCAAGTGGGTCACGTTGGTCATCTGGCCAATGCTGGTGAACTTGAAATCATTTTGAAAAGAGATAATCATGCCTTGAACCCGACTTTCCTATACAAACTGCACCCCAGTAGACGAAGGGAACTTCTCTCAGGGAGACATTCCAGATCACAGATGAAGAGCGGCAGCACTACGTGTCATCCACGAGCAGCTGCCAAAACTCCATGGGTCTCAGCACTGGGCCAGGCTGGCTCTTCAGCAGAAGAACGACAAAGAGGTACTTCCTGGAGCGAGGGGAGGGAGAGCTGCCAGCTAGGGAAGAGACAAGCATTGTACTGGGTGAAGGGAACGGCATACACCACAGGCTGGTGACCAGCACTGCATCACGAAGGAAAAGGAAGACACGGAGAGGCACACGAGAGGTCAGACCACAGAGCTATACAACTGGACACACACAGTCCTGCAGTATCAGTGACATCAAACCAAAACCAAACTCACTGCCACTGAGTCAGATCCAACTCGCAGCCACCCCTCCTTGGGTTTCCAAAGCAGAATCGCTATGGAAGTAGATTGCCCAGTCTTCCTTCTGAGGAGTGGCTAGTGGGTTTGAACCACCAGCCTTCTGGTTAGCAGTCAAATGCCTTAGGCACTATACCATCAGAGCTCCCATATCAGTGATAGCAAACATTAATCTATGGGTGGGTACATAGGTAGACGGGCTGAGTGATCAGGTGTGTACTGGCAAAAGGGATTACATCCAGAACCACAGGAAAGTCTGGTAGACGTCACTTGCACACACGTATTGCACGTGCTACGAGAATGTCCATATACATAATAGAGCTAACTGGGCATACTCAGGATAACCTCTTAGCCACTGTCAACCACCCTGAGGGAGTGAGTCACTGGGTCCAAGGGCTTAGGACCATGGTTGCAGAGGACAGCACGCTCAATTGGCATACCATACCACACAAGAACAGTATTCCACATCCTACTTCAGTGAGTAGGCAACTGAGGTCTTAAACACTCACAAGTGGCCATCTAAGATGCAACAATTGGTCTCTCCTCATCTGGAGCAAAGAAGAATGAAGAAAACCAAAGATGCATGGAAATAGTTAGTCCAAGGGACTAGTGGACCATGTGAACCTCAGCCTGAGACCAGAACTAGATGGTGCCTGGCTACCACTGTCAACCACTTGGAAAGGGATCAGAATAGAAGATTCTGGATAGAGTGGGAGAAAAATGCCAAACAAAACTCAAAATCATAAAAAAAGACCAGGCTTACTGGTCTGACAGAGCCTGCTGAGACCCCCGAGACTAAGGCCCCTAGTCACTCTTTGGGCCTAGAACTGAACTCACTCCCATGGCTTCCAGCCAGACAATGGACAGGCCTACAGGTGAACAATTACACCGGGTAGGTACACTGCTTAGAATGATCAATCATGAGGGATCAGAAGGGCAGTGCTTGCATAGGGAGACAGCTCAGAGGGCAGAAACACACAGGCAAGAAGGAAACAGGGAAGAGGTAACAACAGGGAGAAAGTGGGAGGAGAGCTGTTACGTTGTGGGGATTGCAGTCAATGTCATGAAACACAATGTGTATAAACTGTAGTATGAAAAATGAATTTGCTTTGTAAGCTTTCACCCAAATCACAATTTTTTAAAAAAATGTATTTCCAATGGAAGGAGCCAGGAGAGCCCCACAAACAATCGGCAAAAAGGTTGTTGTTGTCAGGTGCCGTCGAGTCAGCTCCGACTCACAGCAACCCCATGCATGGCAGAACAAAACTCTGCCCGGTCCTGCACCAGCCTCATGATTCCTGTCATACCTGAACCCATCATTGCAGCCACTGTGTCAATCCATCTCGTTGATGGCTTTCCCCTTCTTCACTGACCCTCAACTTTACCAAGCGTGATACCCTTCTCCAGGGAACGGTCCCTTCTGACATGATCAAAATAGGTGAGACGAAGTCTGGCCATTCTCACTTCCAAGGAGCATTCCTGCTGCACTTCTGCCAGGACAGATTTGTTAGTTCTTCTGGCAGTCCATGGGACTTTCAGTGTTCTTCACCAACACCACAACTCAAAAGCATCCACTCTTCGGTCTTCCTTATTCACTGTCCAGCTCTCACATGCATATTAGGCAATTGAAAATACCATGGCTTGGGTTAGGCGCACCTTACTCTTCAAGGAGACATCTTTGCACTTTAGCACTTGAAAGAGGTCTTTTGCAGCAGATTTGTCCCAGTGCAATACGTCATCTGATGTCTTGATTGCTGCTCCCACTGGTACTGATTGTAGAACCAAGTAATAGCAAATACTTGACAACTTCAATCTTTTCTCCATCCACCATGAAGCTGTTTATCGGACCAGTTGCGAGGATTTCTGTTTTCTTTATATTGAGGTGTAAGCCATACTACTAGGCAAGAAACAGCCAAGCGAAAACTGGCGTCAGAGAGCCCCAGGAGCCTGAACCTGTGTTGCTCTTACAGAATCATGGCTGTGACAAGTCCTACCCTTTAGACACACGCAAGAAGTTCCACAAACGTCAAGATGCCTGGAAAGTGCTTCAGACACTGGGTCCCCTAAGGGACGCAATGTGGGGCAGAGGAAATCTCACTGGTCACCATCAGTGGCTGTGGAAGCTGGTGATGGGACATGGGGACGCCGTATACAATACTGCCTGCTTTCCCGTGTGTTTTAAATTTCCCATGGTAACAAGCTGCTTTTTATTATTTTTATTTTTTTATGAGCTGAGAAGTAGTAGAGAGAGAGCCGTGTCACAGAGGCTGAGAACAAGCACCCCAGGGCAAAGGAACACCTGCCACGGAGAGGAGCAAGGGGCTGGGCACCCTCTACCCTCAGCCGGGAACACACCCCACCCCACCTGTGTACACTCAGCTTCAATCTGAATCCACCCCAGAATCTGCTACTCAGAGAAAAAAATGAAAAGCCAGGAAAACCAGCAAAAGCCAGAACCCACACAGGGCAGAAACCTGTCAGAGGAGGAGAACACAAATATTTTCTACTAGAAGAAGTGACAGAAAAGTGTAAGACTGCACCCTGCCCAGGGGAGGAAAACTTGCAAGACCCAGCCAAACAAGGCGGTCCTGCTGATTTCTGGGTCTCACAGATTTCACTGTGTCTCGCTTGGTTGAGAAGATGCTTTGGTGTTAGAATCTGGAATAGTCAACATCAAATAGCTTTTCAGGATAATAAAAATATACTTCCTGCACATCCTCAGACAGGTACTTCTGTCCAGAGCTGCACTGCTCAGAGTCATATGTGTAGGAGCAAACTCGAAAAGGAAAACATCTCAGCTGCGTCAGTTTGAAAGATGGTGCCCAGAAACACATGGACATGCCAATGGGCGGGCAGGAACAGCAGACACAGGTCCTGGGACCAGTGACAACCCAGCTGTGAGCACACCCAGTGCCCAGATCATGGTTTCTAAATACCACTCTCCAATCACAAGGCTTTGGAGAAGTGGTTGATCCCAGGAGCTGAAAGAGGGAGAACACAAGAACACAGAGCATCCTGGCCACAGTGCTGCAGGGTCAGGAAGCGGCAGAAACAGGACGGGCCTATCACACGGCGCCGGACCAAGCTCTACAAGCTCTCAATGGCCGCAAGCAATGACTGGGGCAACTAAATATGTCTGATAGCGCTGGGCCGTAACCCCTGGAGTGAATGCATCAGGACAGCACTAGGCCGTAACCCCTGGAGTGAATGCACACCAATCAATGCAGATAGAAATAGGGGGAAACATATACCCAAGGAAAAGCGGTGCTATCTCTGTATAGGAGAATTCCCATTAGTAAACTTACAAAGAACTAGTGAAACAGGAACGCACTTTTAGAACAACACAGGAATAACTGCTGCAAGCCAAATCCACCGATGGATGCCAAAATTAGCAGGTGAAAACAAGATGAGAAATGGTATCTGCCCAGAGTCCAAGTATCTTCCCCAAGATATCTACTCATTACAAAGAGAAAGACAGTAACTTCAGCGGACAAAGCTGACCAGGTGATGAAGGACAACGGGACCAGTGAATGGATGCCTGGACATGATGCACCCCAACACAGCACACCGGGAAGGGCACCTCCCTTCCACATCTCCACAGAGAGACATCAGAAAAATGCAAACCAAGGAACACTCAACAGAACAACCAACCAGTACTACTCCCAAAGTCAAGATCAGGAAAGACAAGGGAGACTGACTAGCATCAGTGCTGGAGAGCCTGGGGAGATGGACGACCTGTCATGTGGGACCCTGGGGGCGATCCTGGCAGAGAGGCCATCGGCAGTGGGAGAGGTGGTGAGACACAATGAAGGCTGCAGTTCACTTAAAAGGAGCATGACAGCAGCTTGATCACTGGACTGTGGGGAACTGTGATGTCCACATTGGGGGAAGTGGGCTGAAGAGTCCACGGAAACACGATGAACTGTTCCTGCAACTTCTCTTAAATCTAAAATTGCTTCAAATAAGAAGTTGGAAACAGCATGAAGCTTTCTCCGGGAAAAAGGACTGAACTGGGGAACAGGAAAAGGCAGACAGCATGCGGAGAACGGGGCGAGAAGCTCCGAGGAGGAGGGAGGCGTGGTTTCCACAGACCATCCCAACCTGTATCCGTCTCAACTGTTTTTCTACTAGATCTTTCGAGTAACCCACACTGTGTTCCCAGTTCCCCTTTCACACACGTGCCCCTTTCCTGTTCTAGTAGCATCTTTATGCCACACTGTTTGGGAACACGCAGGGTGCGTTTTCCTAACTAGCAGCTGTGCAATAAACTCACAGGAATCGAGCATGCTTTGGCTTCAGGTTCCCAGACGAGTCTACGCGAACTTACCAAGCCAATGCATTTTTTCAATATGCTCCACACGCTGAAATCACTTCTGGTGAACATGGGAGCGGGCAGCGACATCCTGCATGGGGCAGCACAAGGACACAGATGATTAGCCTACCATGAGGGCCAGTTGCAGCTGATGGGTTAGCCCAACAACCGTCTTCCTAATATTCATACATCAGCGCTTCTTCTTCTGCCCACTACGAGTGAAGGGAAGTCGGACATGTGGTTCCAGTGCTCCAAGGAGGGTCTGGACAGTGATCACAAGGACGATGATCACAAGGACAACAGCCAGCTCCTTGAGAACCCCTGGCCTCCCACCACAGCACTTGTGTGGACAGGGACCCGGGGCAGGGGGCAAGGGAGGAGCCCGCCACATCACACACCACCTAGGAGCCAAGTCTTCCTCTGGCATCTGTGCCTTCCATAAACCTTGTGTGGTGGCACAGCTGGGGTTGAGCGGGGCTCTGTGAATAAGCAGGGCTCTGTGAGTGCATGCATAGTGACCCAGGCAGGGCAGGAAAGGGTTCCCAGAGGAGGGGCAGGAACCAGAAAGATGGAAGGGGAGGGAGAGCTTGGCAGGCACAGGCTGCAGGGAGGAGTGTGATGAAGCCAGAGGAGGGAGCAAGGCGGAGCCCAGAGGGCCCTATGGCGATGGTGCCGGCCTCCATCAGAGAAGAGGGGCCTAATTTACACAGGAGAGGAAAAGGGGACCCGCTGGTAAGTTAGCAGGGGGAGAAGGGGTGCCAGTGAGTGTCCCTCAGGGAGGAGAAGGGCATGACTGAGCGTTACTCCAGGAGGAGGAGGGCTGCCACTGATCGATGCCCGGGACTCCCGCACATCCCAGGCCACGTGGCTGTCCTGCCTCAGAGCTTCCAACAGAGACCACAGGAGCCTGGTCAGACCTGTCTTCTGAGAAGATGGCCCCGCAGCATGGAGACCAGAGGGTGCGCAGGAGGCCAGCGAGGGCAGAGGGCGGTGGTGTGCAGCACATGGCACTGAGGGGTCCACGAAGTATTTCAATGGGACAGTCATCAGCCTCGGAGCAGGTAGGACATGAGGATCAGGGAGACCGGCACCAGGGGAGACTCAGCTTCACGGTGGTGCCGCACTTGAGGAGGGGAGGACAGCCGAGGCCCAGCCCCAGCAGAAGCCCGGAGGGATGGGAGCCGAAGGGAGGCACACAAATATTTGGTGAAGCAGCAGTGACTAAATAAAGGCCCAAGAGGTCCCTCTGAGTCACCCAAGGGCAGAGGGCAAGCAGGTGACAGGATCTGCAGGTCTGAGCTCAGAGGAGAAGTGGGGGAAACCAGAGGGGCTATCTGGAGCTAAAATACCAGTGAGATGGGTAGACAGAAACTCCCACCTTCCCACCACTACTGTCTCCAGGCACCACAGCCCACCCCTTGTGACTCATCACCCCGATGGCTTCTCCCGCCTATGTCCTCCGTTCTACTGACAAACTCTCTTTACAGAAGCCCCCCATCACCAGCATTTACTCATAGGGAGAGGGGAGAGCCCAGGGAGAAGCAGGGGGTGTGTTCCTGATGTCATAAAACTAGAGAATCCTTCCTGTCCCAATGGAGGGGAGGGGAGCACGTCTCAGCAGAGCCCAACACGCCCACAGGGTCAAGTGGAGAGGCAGCAGGGCCCGGGCTCGGGTGGCAGGTGTGTGGGCCAGGTCCAGGCATGGCCCTGGATGCCCATCTCCCTGACCCACACGGCACTCCCAGGTCAGCACAGAGAAGGCCACCCTCTCACAGGGGAGGGAGCCACTCAAGGGTGTTCCACACTGACACATGTCATCCCCAGACCTCTAGACGCCAGGGGCAAAGGGAGGCCTCAGGACAATGTGTCATCTGCAGGCGGTCCTGGCTGGGGGCTCATCCAACTCGGTGTTCTGTGGCTGCTGAGGAGGCGCTGCCAACAGACCGAGGGGGACACAGATGCCTGTGGTGCGTGTGGGACAACATACCTGTGTGTTTGAACCCCATTCTCCTGGGGGGGCCTCGTCTCGGTATTCCCAGCCTTCTGATTTTCACTGGTGTCCGAGCCAAGCCCCCCTATTATCTTCTGATTTGCCTCTGCAAATTCCCCAGAATGATCCGAATCAAAGCCTGTGGAGAAAAACAAAACAGGGATTCTATCCCGAGCTGGGAGAAGTCAAAGGCAACGTCCAAGTCTACCATCAGGGATACAAGCAGAATCAAAGTCAATGTCCAAGTCTACCATTGGGGATACAAACAGAAAGCCTGAAGCTCAAAATGGCTTTTAATGGACCCATTTCAGAAGAATCAACTGTGCTTCCCAAGAAATACAGGTAGTGATGGCAGGGACTGAAGAGGCACATCCAAGGAAGAAGTCCCATTGTCAAGTGAATGCCAAACCTCAGAGTTCATTCCACGCTATGATGCAGCCTTTGCAAGGATTCGACGTTCAGCTCTAGGAAATTCGCACCCACATGCTGCAGTCTATAGGTCATGTTCTTGTTCCACTCACCTGTGACGGCATCAAAGAACTCCTCCTCACTGTTCATCCTTCAGCAGCCTGCCCCTTCCAGCGCCGTGCCGTGTGGTCTCCTACGGGGTCATTGCGCCAGGGCTACATCTAGGGCACAAGGGGTCTTCTGGGCCTTTTCTTGGTCAAAATCCAACAGGCCCTGGAGATCTAGGGGAAGTCACACGACACACTCAGCATGCAGAAACTGTATGGTCTAGAAATGCTTCTTCAGTGCTTCATTCACTGTGCTTGAAGTCTAGCTTATTACATGTCAGAAAGGAAATGAGCAGAATTAGAGCAAAAAATGCAGTGAGAGGGCACATTTATAACATAAGGGCTGGTCATTGGTAGTGGATGAGCACGTAATTACTGTTTGAAGGATTATTTCTAAAAATCATCATCCACCAGTGCATACTCCAAACACACAGTGGCCACTCAAACACACCAGTGATTGTGAGGATGGCGCAGGACCAGGCAGCTTCTGGGTCTGTTGTACAGAGTGACACAGGGACACCAAAAGTGGGCACCAACTCAACGGTAACTACCAACAACAACGAGAAATGAGCTGTCGAGCTGGGAGAAGACATGGAGGAATCCAAAATACATACTGTAAGTGAACAAAGATAGTCAGATAAGGCACAAACTGTCTGATCCCAGCTGCAAGCCTTTCTAGGAAAGGCTCAACTACAGAGACAGTGAGAAGATGCACAGTCGCTGCAGGTTCAGAGGGAGGACAGGGACACCATCCTATGTGCCACTGTCATGGTGGACACATGACCTGCTGCACTCGTTGAAACCCACACAATTCCACAACACAAAGCAGGTACTCCAACGTGAGCCATGGACTTGACGGACCAGGACTGGCTCCTCAACTGTAATAAGTGGACCACAGGACACAAGGCACTCAACATGGGAGCTGTGGAGATGAGGGAGCATAGGGTTTGCTGATGAGTGGCTCCATCAAGCCCACAACCAAATACAATCAAATACTCACTTTTTCCTAACACCAACTATGAGGAGGCAACACCCGCAATGTTCACTTCTCCACACAGTTCTGACCTCCGGCTGCCCACACAGCACTCCCTCCTCTGCCCTGGCCACCTCAGTTAGATCAGATCTCAGGAGTTAAAGGGACACCGCCCATCAGACTGCCAAGCAGGCCCGAGGCTTCAGAAGCCAGCCACAAGTCTAGCAGTCCATGTGACACCCTCACTTCTGACCTGCGGGCTACCAATTTAGGGGTCCCCTCTACCCTCTCAATACGGTCTTAGTGATAGAAATGATGCCACAGATCATGATAGAATTTCGCAAGACCAACCACTTATTCACTACAAATACCTTTCTTCAACAATGGCAGCCATACACGTGAACTTCAGAATACACAGGAATCAGATCAACTATATCTGTGCAAAGAAGCGACGGAGCTCACTATCTTCAGCCAAAACAAGACGAGGAGCTGACTGTGGAACAGACCATCAACTGCTCACATGCACATTCAACCTGAAGTTGAAGACAATTAAAATAAGTCCACAAGAGCCAAAATATGACCTTGATTATACCCCTCCTGAATTTAGAGCCCATCTAAAGAATAGATTTGATACACTGAACACCAATGACCAAAAACTAGAGAAATTGTGGGATGACATCAAGAACATCCATGAAGAAAGCAAGAGGTCATGAAAAAGACAAAGAAGGAAGAAAAGACCAAAATGAATGTCAGAAGAGACTCTGAAACTTGCCCTTGAGTGCAAAATAGCTAAAGCCAATGGAAGAAATGACAAGGTAAAAGAGCTGAGGAGATCTCAAAGAGCAGCTCGAGAAGACAGGGCCAATTACTATCATGAAATGTGCAAAGACCTGGAGTTAGAAAACCAAAAGGGAAGAACACATTCGGCATTTTTCAAACTGAAAGAACTGAGGAAAAAGTTTAAGCCTCGAGTTGTAATACTGAAAGATTCTAAGGGCAAAATATTGAACAATGCAGGAAGTTATCAAAAGAAGATGGAAGGAATACACAGAGTCACTGTACCAGAAAGAATTGGTCAATGTTCATCCATTTCAGGAGGTAGCATATAATCAAGAACCAATGGTATTGAGTGAAGAAGTCAAAGCTTCACTGAAGGAATTGGAGAAGAACAAGGCTCTGGGAATTGATAGAAGAGCCACTGAGATGTTTCCACACACGGATGCCGTGCTAGAGGCACTTACTCATCTATACCAAGAAATCTGGAAGACAGCTACCTGGCCAACTGACTGGAAGAGATCCATATTTGTACCCATTCCAAAGAAAGGTAATCCCACATAATGTGGAAATTATTGAACAGTATCATTAATATCACACACAAGTAAAACCTTGCTGAAGATAATTCAAAAATGGTTGCAGCAGTATACTGACAGAGAACTTCCAGAAATGCAAGCTGAATTCAGAAGAGGATGTGGAACAAGGGATGTCATTGCTGTCAGATGGATCTTGGCTGAAAGCAAAGAATACCAGAAAGATGTTTACTTGTGTTTTATTGACTATGCAAAAGCATTCAATTGTGTGGATCATAACAAATTACGGGTAACACTGAGAAGAATGGGAATTCCAGAAAACTTAATTGTGCTCATGAGGAACCTGGACATAGACCAGGAGGCTGTCGTTCAAGCAGAACAAGGGGATACTGGATGGTTTAAAATCAGGAAGGGTGTACGTCAGGGTTGTATCCTTTCACCATGCTTATTCAATCAGTATGCTGAGCAAATAATCCAAGAAGCTGGACTATATGAAGAAGAACACAGCATCAGGATTGGACGAAGTCTCATTAACAACCTGCAACATGCAGATGACACAACATTGCTTGCTGAAAATGAAGATGACTTGAAGCACTTACTGATGAAGATTAAAGACTACAGTCTGCAGTATGGATTACACCTCAAAATAAAGAAAACAAAAATTCTCACAACTGGACCACCACAGCATCACAATAAATGTAGAAAAGATTGAAGTTATCAAATATTTCATATTCTCTGGTTCCACAATCAACACTAATGGAAGCAGCAGTCAAGACATCACATGACATAAGTGCTGAAAAGCAAAGACATCTCCTTGAAGACTAAGGTGCGCCTGACCCAAGCCATGGCATTTTCAGTCACCTCACATGCATGTGAAAGCTGGACAATGAATACGGAAGACGGAAGAAGAGTTGATGCTTTTGAGTAGTGGTGCTGGTGAGGAATACTGAACGTCTCATTCACTGCCAGAAGGAACAGGTCTGTCCTGGAAGAAGCGCAGCCGGAATGCTCCTTAGAAGCAAGAATGGCCAGACTTTGTCTCACATACTTTGGTCATGTTGTTAGAAGGGCCCATTCCCTGGAGAAGGATGTCATGCTTGGTAAGGTGGGGGGTCAGAGAAAAAGGGGAGGACCCTCAATGAGATGAACTGACACAGTGGCTCCAATGATGGGCTCAGGCAGAGCAGGGATTGTGAGGCTGGCATAGGATTGGGCAGTGTTTCGCTGCTGTACA